TGTTAAGAAAGTATGGAAAGATAAATGAACAAATGATTTCCACTCAGGGAGAATATGAAATTTATTTATTCCACAAATATTCATTGATCAACCTACTATGGGCAAAAACCATCCTGTGTGCAAATGGTAGTGTGAACACTATGTTTCATACACTTGTCACGTAGTATTGAAAACAAATTCTTCAATGTAAAATGTAATACAGCTTAAATTTTCATGGTAGAAGGGAAATACTAAGGCAAGAATTACATAGATAGTAATAAGGCTAAAAAATACAACAAGGAAAAGACAACAGAGTGGGCATGCAGTGTGGAGGAGGCTGAGAAGGCAAATGCTATTATATTTTGAATAGATGGTGAATCTGAGAAAGAACTGAAGGAAGTGAAGGAACAAGCAAGTAAGTATCTGAGAGAAGTGTTATAGTCTTCAGCTGTCCTATTCAGTAGCCACCAGCCATATATTACACGAAATACTTGAAATGTGGCTAGTCTAAGCTGAGATGTTCTATAAATACAAAACACACTTTATATTTTGAATATTTGGACACCAAAAAATAGAACATACAATTAATTTTTGTGTTGGTTACATGTTTAAATTAGGTATTTTACATGCTGTGTTTCGAAAGATTATTGAAATTCATTTAACTGATTCCTATTTACTTTTTCTAGAGTACGTGTACTCACTAGAGAGAGACCGAGAGAGGGAAAGTAAGAAATCACTGCCCTCCAGGGGTGATGGCCACATCACAATCCCTTCTCTTCAGTTCTCTTTGGATTTGGGCATGCATGTACACAAGCTTGGTGTAATTTTCAAGCTGCCAGGTCTGAGACTTGAACTGTGGTTGGTCAAGTGGGAATCCAGCACGAACAACTATGCCACCTGCTGGTCCCTCTATTTGCTTTTTATAATGTACTTACTTGAGACTTTAAAATTATATAGGTTGTTCACATTTGTGGCTGGCACTATATCTGTGTTGAACAGTGCTGTTCTAGGAAGAGAGGACAAACACAAAATCCAAAGATGTCCTTGGTGCTGCTATATCTTTATCTATTCACCCTTAGCATTCGTTACCTATTGTTATCTCTTCCTACACGCTTACCTCCTGTCCAGACAGAGATCTTCAAAGTCAGTATTTGAGTTTAATTTGTCTTTCTCTCTTAGGGCATAACACAGTATTTAGTACAAAGAAGGTTAGTTGCTGGACAGAATGACGACCATTCCCATTGATTCTTGGCTAAACTATAGTAATTCTGACCACTTGTACCCATGTTCTTATTACTTCAAAAGGTCAAAATATAAGACTCTCTCACTTGAGTAAAAATTGTATTTTAATATGGAAAGCCTAATATAATGAATGAAATTCTATTTAACATGTGACTTTTGCAGAATTTTGGGAGTTAGAAAAACAACCCAAACAGCTTTACTGTTCACCACCTGTCTTAGTCCACTACTGCACTGCTAAAAGAGATACTGAGATTGTGTGATTTACGGAGAAACTGAGGTTTATCTAACTCATCATTCCAATGGCTTGAAAATCCAAGGGTATAGGGCCAGCCTACATTACAACATAGCTGACAGCACAGAGGACAACCTCGGAGAAGCCATCTTCCTTTTGTAACATCCCATTCTCATGAAAACTGTCTCATTTGGTTTCTCATGAATGGTTTCACATTAATTCATTCTTGAGGCTGATGACTTTATGACCCAATCACCAGCCACCAGACCCCACCAGCTCCCAAATATCATCCTATTGGGGGCCAAACTCCAAAACATGAAGCTTTAAGGGACGAACCATGATCCAATCCATAACACTGTGAGAAAGCTTTTTTGTAGGTATGCTAGTTTATACATTTCATTAAAACATGTTATTTTAGCTAAATGGGAAATAAGCAATGTCTTCCTAAACTGCACAGAGGAAATTAAAGTATTCTCTTTGGATCTCTTTACCTACATTTTGAGCTGATTAACATGGTCAACTACGTAAACACTCAATTAAATTTGGTAGGCTTAGTAGGAGAAAACTGCATTTTCTAACTAAATAGTAAGAGTTTTAGTTGGATAATTTGAAAACTGTATTGCTCTTGGCTAGGCTGATAGAGAACAAGATTCAGAAATGATAGCCAATTTCAAGCCTGTTTGTTCAATTATTCAATCTGAGTCTGCACTTAAAATTATTAAGTATAGGCGAGGCAGAATAGGCTGCATAGCACCTTAAAGTTGCCAAACTACATTTTTCTACATTCTCCATCCATAGGTCTTTATCTTAAGCATGTTTCCTTAAGTTACACCTCCATACTTCAAGTGTCTTTTCTAAGCTGGAAGAATAAAGGAGCAAAAAGGTCATAGTTTGTTCCCAGCAAGGCTTTTTTCATTTGGTAAAGAAATTGTGCCTACCTCTCAGTGGACAATCCTGTAGTACCTTTAGTGGTCACAAAGGTAAGGTAAGGGTTTTTCTTGTTGCTGTTGTTAGCTTTTTGGTTTTGTTTTTGTTTCTAGTTGCCAAAGGGCACATATGCTCACCAGAGAGAAACACAGAGAGGGAGAAAGTGCCCTCCATGGGCCTTCTCCTTTTCTCCGTCATATAGTGATATGGGCATGCACACACGTGCCTGTCATGCTTTTCAAGTTGCAGGGGCTGGGACTCAAACCAAGATTGACTATGTGAGATCTGCTCCGTTACCCACCAGGCCACGGGCCAGTCCTGAGATGGTGAGTTTTATGTTTTTTTTCAACTTCTACCACAGAAAAAAAAGAAAGAAAAAAGTTGTAAATGAAATCAAGGTAGCCAAAATACAATGTCTGCCACATAATTCTGTGTATATCCTTGATTCCTAGAAATGCAAACAGAACTTCAATGTGAAATTTTATCATATTTCAGTGAAATGCTACCTATTTTAATAAATCCTTCTGACCATCATTGGAGAGATATGGATTGTAACTAAGATTCAAGAGTGAATTTGCTTCTGCTCACTAGCACAGTGTTTGAATCTCCATTCTGCCATTTTCTTTATCTTTTCCTGAACTGTTTAACCACTCCCAGAACCATTCACAATTTACAAATCTTTCTGATTCTCTGCTCCAACTTCTTCAAGTGATTTACACATAGATCTCTTTTCAAGGTCTACTCTGGCCCACAATCTCCTTGCAACCACCAACTGAATTCCACAGACACAGAAAAGTTTCATTCCCCCACCCCCCAGAATCGTTAAACATATATACAAGATATATCAAGAACAAAATACACATCTTTTTTTGTTTGTTTGAGAGATATTTGTCAAAGAGTGTGTGCACTTGCTGGAATGACAGAGACAGAGAGGCAGAAAATAAGAAATCATCCCCCAGGGGGGATGGCCATCCCACAATCCCTTCTCTTTCATTCTCCTCTCAGGATTTTGGGCATATATGCACATGCGCTCAGCTTGAGTTTCAAGCCTCCCGGTCCAGGATTCAAACTGTGGTCAGCCATGTAGGATTCCAGTGATATATCCATTATGCCATCTGCTGGTCCCCAAAACATACATTTTAACAAGACAATGCTTCCAAATGTTTCATTAATATTCACAACTATACATCATTATTCTAAAAAGTCTTAGTACAAAACCACAAATATCACATGCTGCAAAACATACTATAGCAGCAGTAAAAAACAAGTTTATTTATTTCAACTACAGGAGTCAAACAATAATATAGCTTCTTTTAAAATTTTTAACGTATCTGAAATTAATGCTGAAGTAGGGTATGGAATGAGGCACTAAATCTATATTTTAGATAAACTGTTAACCAATTATTTCAGGATAGTTAATTTAAGAACCCGTTCTTTCCCAATGGTATGATACGCTAACTTCACCATCTACTAAATTAAGGGGTAAGTCTCTGGGCTTTCTGCTCTTTTGTGTTGTATGTTTATTTTTAATTAGGATCACACTATTGAAATTATTATAATTGTATTATTTTATTATTATTTATTTTTACATTAGGACCAAATTACTCTAATTATTATAACTGGATTATATATATTTTTTTGAGAGATTTTCACTGTAGGGTGCGTGCGCTTGCCAGACAGACAGAGAGAGACATAGAGACAGAAAGCGAGAAATCACCCCCCCAGGGGGGATGGTCACGCCGCAATCCCTTCTCCTCCATTCTCCTCTCAGGATCTTGGGCACGCACGCACAAGCGCCCAGCGTGAGTTTTTAAGCCACCGGGTCCGGGACACGAACCGCGGTCGACTATGTGGGAGTCCAGCGACATAGCCATTACGCTAACTGCTGGTTCCCCTGGATTATATTATTATATATTATGGTATGGTCTAATATTTTTAAACATAGTCTACCAGATGAACTTCAGAATAATCTTGGCAAGAGCCAAAAATAAAAAGATTAAAAAAAACTTTAAAAATGTAGTTTAAATAATTTAATAATTTAAATAAATTGATATTGTATTCTTCCCAATCTGAATATTTACTAATTTATTTTATGCCAAATACAAGTAACAATTTATTACTAATAACTTATAAAAATGAGTATGTACATATTCTATTAACTTAATTTGACATAAATATAATAAAATTACAAAGAATAAATTTGGTGACCCAAATGGCAGACCACAGTTTGAGTCCTAGACCCAGTGGCTTGAAACTCTCACCAGGCATGTGTGCAGGTGTGCCCAAAATAGAGAGGAGATTGGAGAAGGGATTGCAGAATGGCTATCCCCTCTTGGGGGATGATTTCTCACTTTTTCTCTCTCAGTCTCATTCTGTCTCTCCACTTGAGCATATGCACCCTATAAGAAAAACTCTTAAAAAAAAGAAACATTATATAACAAAATAAGTATAAGTACCCTTGCCTCTGATATCAGGAATACACTCTAGATTTAAAATATAAATTTAATTTCATACACATTTAAAAATAATACATTAAGTAAAATGGTTGAAATTTCAAAAAATGATTGCATAAAGTAACAATCATTTAACAAAAATTTGCATGATAAATTTTACATCTCACCTGTCCGGCAACAGCAGTGAAGTAAGTCCATATGGAGTCATCGGGTGAGGAATAATTGTCTGAATAAACTGGGTATCCAGAGTATCCACCAAGGACCATGTTTGGACCTGTTCCTGGCATTGGCTGCCCCATTGGCATCTGCATTCCTGGCATTTGACTGCTAAAATTTCCAAACTGTAAAAGAGAATGATAAAGGAGAAGATTAACAATACGTATATATACCTGTTATCCACTAAACTTGGTTTAAAAGTAAGTCCATTAAAAAGTAAAACTTGAAACTGTTGCCCAAAAGCTTCCAAACTTAACTATAACATAAAAAAGCTGTAACTAGAAAATGCTAGATATTCTATAATTAGAAATAATTCAATTCAAAGTTATTCAGCATTTAAAGACATGTCAAGGGAAAAAAAGGTTCTAGCCTCTAAGAACTTAATCTAACAGAAAAACATGAGACATAAAGTGTTTACCAACATCATCACTAAATGAACGAAAAATAAAAAAACACAAGGTTTCATTTACAGTAAAACTAAGATGCACACTTGAACACATACACTTTCTTGGAAGAATATATGGGAACTCAATGAAAAATGTGACCTAAGCATAGGAATGCACAGAGCAAAAATACCCTCTCCAACCACCTCCCCACCCCATCCCCTAAAAAACACTTTTTTAAAAAGCACAGTAAGAAAAATAAATAAATAAAATGATAATTCCAACAACAGCCATCTTTAAAACTAGTAAGAATAAGAATAACAAGAATACCAATAATTAAAGCCAGCTAATATTTAGTAAGTTTTTTTTTTAATATCCTAAGTTCTAGTTTATATACTCCCTTCCTATTATGTTACTTGACTTTCCAACAACTTTATAAATTATAGAAGTATCACATTCTTTTTGCAGTTTAGGACGTGAAACTTCAAGGTCAAGACAGTAAGAAGGAAACCATGTATTTAAGAAGCTATAAAATTCACATACCTAATTATTTCCTGATATGGCTACTGTTTCTCTCTTTTCACTTTGGGACCTAGGATATATTTCTGATACCTACACTGTACTCAGCATTTTTAAAGTCTAAAGAAGAACAATGTATCAAAACTGTTCATTATTTCATTTTGAACAATAATTTTCCTTGACCTGCATATTTGAATGAAGAGCAGACTGCCAAAAGGCAGAAAGAAAAAAGAACTGCAAGTATTTGGGAAAAAGACATAATGGAGGAGCCTGCAAGTAGTGTGACTAGCTGCATCTGTGGGAAGGACAAAGGCACAGAGGAAGCACTGGAGCTCTAGGATGTGTGTTCAAGGCAGTGGTCAAACACTAGATTATAAAGTCATGAGGTACGAGAAAGAAAACAGTAAACATTTAAAACTATGTATTGTAGGGGCTGGCAGGTGGCATGGTGGTTAAGGGTGCTGGACAACACCTGGGTTCAAGTCCCACCCCTGGTGGCTTACCCCCTCTCTCTCTCTCTCTCTCTCTCTCTCTCTCTCTCTATCCCTCTCTGGTCAAATTAAAAAATAAGTAAATAAATAAATAAAGCTAAATAAAATATTTTTTTTAAACTATGTATTGCATTAAAGACTAAAAATAATTCTTGGAAAAAAGAAAAAAGACTAACCAGCAAAGAGTTGGCCAGTTTCAAGAATGAAAACTGAAGAGCAGGGACTAGCCAATGGTGTAATGGTTACATAGTTGGACTCCCACATAGTAAACCACGGTTCGAGTCCTCAACCCAGCAACTTAAAACTCACTCTGGGAGTGTGGATGTGTGCCCAAAATTTTGAGAGGAGAGTGAAGAGATTACTGTGTGGCCATTCCCCTGGGGGGGGGGAGGGGAGGATGATTTCTCGCTGTCTCTCTCTCAAAAAGAAGAAGAAGAGAAGGAGGAGGAGGAAGAGGAAGAAGAAGAAGAAAGGCAGTATAATACTATGAATGGATTTGAAGGAAATACACACGTGTACTCACACACACATGGAAATTATGTACCTCATAATATAATATATAAACAAACATGTTTCTTATGGATGCAAAAACAAATGCTATAAACACTTTTACCCCAATATATTTCAAAGTACAAATGAAATAGGACTTATATGAATTTTAAGAACTGACTCAAGGGGGAGGAATAAACTTCCTACTTTTTATAACCTCATGCTAGGCAATCTGACCCATTCTGACACTGAAAATAAAAAGTTTCATAAGATATTATTTTGAAATCACCTTAACATCATGGATATGGAAAAATTCTGGGCCCTTTGTGCCTTGAGGAACATACACTTTCTGTTTTTATAGAATTTTGCTACAGTGCTCTTGTGCTCCCTGGAGAGGCAGAGACAGAAAGCGAGAAATCACTCCCCCTCCGTCCAGTGGTGATGGTCACATTCTCCTCTACAGATTCTAGGCATACACATGCACGTGCCCAGTGTGAGCCAGGTCACAGAGTCAAACCTGGTCAGCAAGCCACCTGCTGGCTCCAAAAACCTTGTTTATTTTTAAATTTTTTGTTAATTTATTTACAATTAATCACATCTTTACAGTGTACATTTATTTTTCCAACACAAATACTATGCCTTGTTTTTAACCAAAGTCAGGCAAGCAGTATTATATGAAGAATCTGACTTTAGGAATAACTACCACCTCTTTCCAGTTTGCGGTATTCTCTTTCCCAACCAGCTGGTCAAATTAAAGTATTTGCAAATTCTTGGCCACCCCTCCCATCCAAAAGCAACAACTATTTCTGCATTTGCTTGAATCTCACTGGGCCTGTGTGAGCTTTAGTTGTTAGAACATGGTAAAAAACCCACTATGTTGATTGCAAGCTTAATACTTCAAAAGGACTGCAGCTATGGGGAACCAGCAGTTAGCGTAATGGCTATGTCGCTGGACTCCCACGTAGTCGACCGCGGTTCGTGTCCCGGACCCGGTGGCTTAAAACTCACGCAGGGCGCGTGTGCGTGCATGCCCAAGATCCCGAGAGGAGAATGGAGGAAAAGGGATTGCGGTGTGACCATCCCCCCTGGGGGGTGATTTCTCGCTTTATGTCTCTATGTCTCTCTCTGTCTGTCTGGCGAGCGCACGCGCCCTACAGTGAAAATCTCTCCTAAAAAAAAAAAAAATAAGGACTGCAACTATTGTTTCTTTCTCAGAACATTACCAACACACAAGGAAGAAGCCGAAGTGCCCATGTGGAAGGACCCATGTACAGGAGAACTGTGGCCTTTGTCCAACAAGGTTAATCCTTAAACATAGTTTACATAAATTCATATTTCAGGTTACCTTCTTGACAGTTTCAAATGAGTCAAATGGACCATTAGGTTATAATTGTTATTACCTGGCAATGTGATTGAAGAAAAGCTTGGAAATGGTGTCAGTAAGGGCATTGTTGTGTTTTTTGGATGCTTTTGAATTGTTGGTATTATGTTTGATCTTTAATTCTCTTCCCAAAAATTTTCAAACTACTTGGCAAAATTGTGACACTTACTTTATATAAAACTGGAATATGTGAGGGGTATTCAAAATGTTCATAGAAAATACATACTCTGAAAAAACTATGCATGGATTCCAATCTTTTGGCACTAAAATTGACTTATACTGTAATTCTATTTTTCTGCAAACTTTTTAAATCTTCTCTTACAATCTAGAACTTTGGGAAACCCTGCACATATAAACTACAGCAAGCCACAAGGGTCTGGAAAAAAAGAGAGAGAGAGAGAGAGAAGTCATTATACACAAAACTCTACCTCCTCCCTCAAGACCATACCCTATGTCAGTGTCCTTTTAATGTTTTACTTCCTACCTCTAAAAGAATTTTGAGACAGTACTAGGTCATTGCATTTTAGCATATAAAAACATATATCCACACTCCAAGGGATCATCCTGCACACTTAATTTGTTCGCACTGAGTGTGTTCCTCTCACTTTGGAGATAAATCACTGACAACAGAGAAAGTTTGGGTGCCTTTCTAAAAAGGGGTTTGCCACCAGGATACTATATTTACAACTTCCAACTGTCAAAGGTTATACAGAATAAAGAGGTATATAAAAGAGAGTAAACACCTCCACTTAGGAGGGGGGGGGAAAAGTCTGAAGAACAGATTGCCCCTGATATGATAGTAAAGATGTGAAGTATTTATATCTTAACATATTCGTAAAGAACTTTATAAAACAAGAAGTGATCAAAATTTCACAAAGAGGATCTCTTACACAACTGAGTGGAGTAAGTGGAATTGACCACAAAAGATTACTGTATCGCAACAAGAAAATGGTGCGTCGTTCTCCATTCCAGGAAATAAATCTCTCAACACACATCACTCCCTCGGCTGCGCAAGGACGCTCGGTAAGGATCACCAGGGACAAGAACACCTGGGGCTCCACGTTCGCCCCCGGTTCAGGTTTCCCACATAGCTCTGAGCCCTGGCGCCACTGAGTACCAGACCCGGGCGAAGGGACCTGGGGCAAAGGTAGGACCCGGCACGTTAGCATCGGTCGAAGAGGCGCCACACCCCGCGAGGGCGGAGGCGGCGACGAGGAGACCAGGACTCACCCCTCCTCCGTATCCCGGGTAGGCCATGACAAGCAGCGCGAGCGTCAGCCTTGCAGTGGAGTCCGCGACCTCTCAGCGGGTACCAAGGTGCAGGTGCAGGGCAGGTGCAGGTGAGGCTAAAGGGCTCACTGGCCAGGCCTTCGGGTCCGCCCCCTCCAAGAGGCAGCCCAGCCCTGCCTAGTTCCGATTGGCTCACTGCCGCCCTTCGACACCAACCTGACAGCCGGAGCCCGCCCCTTCCCGGTGTCTAGCCCCACCCCTGAAGACTCCGATTGGCTTGCTCAAGTTCTCGCGCTCTCTCCTCCTAAGCCCCAAAGAAACCTTTTCATCTAGAGCCTCCTACCCTCTCTGGAAAGGTTCCCAGGCTGTGAGCTACTAAGTTTCTGTTCTTTCTAGAAACCCAAATCCGGCCAACCTCTGACAGCTTTTAACCTATTCCTGCTCTTTTTAAAAGCAAGACTGCAAATACACATATAATAGTTTCAAAACTTGCAGGTTTACACGCAATTATTTTTGTGTAAAGTTAATGTCACATTAGAACTTTGAAACCACACCACACCTGGGCCCCAAGCAGAGCGCTTCTGATCTGAAACCCATGTGACGCCAAATTTAACATAAAACTTACTTGCAAT